TTATTTCATATAAATTTTAGGTTTTCTTAAGAATTTTTTTTAAATAAATCATTTTATTGGGGGCTCCTACAGCTCTTATAGCAATATATTTACACTTTGTAATGGATTGTTCTTCTTTTAGATTGGAATAGAGATTTATCTTCAAGCTCACTAATTTTGAGTTCCATTGCTTTAGTTCTACTGCTTTGCTATTTTGAAGTGTTGTCTAGATTTTTTTTGGTGTGTGTGGTAATGGTTCCTCAATTTTCTCTAATCTTTCTCTAATCTTTCTCGATCCTTTTCGTTGTTCATTAAAAATACCTGAACATCATTTTTCTGAATTCCTTTTTTATAATCCCAATGTATTTTATTTCTTGGGAAGATCCTTTGACTCTGTATATTGTTCACTTCCTTGTGCCAGCCTTCCTTGAGTCTGGTAGACTGAGATTGCCTGTTGCCTCCACAACACCGTGTTACAACTGTTAGAGGTGGGAGGGTAACTGGGTTTGTGGAGAGAGTTGATTCGGTCAAGTGGTGCCTGTAAGGAATAGTAAAAACATGCAAACAGCGTTCGGTGCCCTTATTGCATTGAATGAGCAAGCTCTTACCTCAGCTGTGGAGAGCACTTTGGGGGGCTCACATCTCAGTGATGGTGAGCCGTGGTGGGTATGTGGCTGGTGTTCCTATAGCACTGTGTCCATAGAGAGAAGCAGGGAAGTAAGTGACTGCTGCCTGTATAGCACTGTTTCCACAGGCTCTCTCACCTCAGTCAAGGGGAGAGGTGAGGTAATATGTGTCTGCTTCCTCTATAATGCTGTTTGGGTGGGCTTTTGATTTGGCTATGGAGAACAACAGGTAGTATGTAACCAGTGCCCTTTTCTGTACCTCCATGGGTTCAGAAAAGAGAGGGGGATGGGGGTGGCAGGGAAGCCCCTTGGCTGAGTAGGTCTCACACTGCTAGCCTGTTCCACCAGTTTCGCGGGATGGGGTAGGGGTGGGGGTGGGGGCGGGGTGCGCTGGTGCAGAGAAAGAGTTCAAAAGAGAAAAAACTGCCCTATGCAGATTCTGTAACTTTAGCCCTCTGGAAACTGTGTGGTGAGCTTGTGACCCCTTCAAGTACTTGAGACCCCTGGGAAACCGGATATGGTTTTGTCCCTACTCCAAAATCCTCCTGTGCGGCGCGACAGATCTGCTCGGTCCACTCTTTCTTCTGTCTACACACATGGCCACAGGACTGTGGAGAATTTCAGATTGCTGAGTTCAGCCCGCTTAGCTATTTTCTTTTTCTTCCAAGATTCAGGGCTATATATATTTTTTCCCCTCTGCACTGGTTTTCTATTGTTGTCAGAAATGGTGTATGTAGTACAACTGTCTGGGTGGCCCTCTTAAAGTGGGAGTCTAAAATTTTAAAGTTACACCCCCAAACGGATAGAAAGAGGCACATGGTGAAACTGCAGTTTCTACATTACTTGGTTAAAACTGTGAACAACGAACCCACCCAAGAGGACGGTATTGTTTATATCTCCACAAGGAAAGAGCGACCAGACTTCAACCAGGTGCTCCAAGATGTGAATGCAACATACTGGAATGAAGCAGGGAACCAGTAGAGAGGTCTGAGGGGCCAGCCCCAGTCCCAAGTA